CAACCAACTGTCCGGTCCCATCCCAGAGGAGATTGGAGCCATGCTCGCCCTCACCAGGCTGTCAGTCACTCTCCACCTCAGTCGCTGCAACCTTTCTCTTCCTGATTTTGTCCCTCCCTCGCCTGCCCTCACATTATGTTTGTATCCTTGGCTATGCACACTAGCTTATTGTAGCGTGCATGCACACCAGCTTACTGTAGCGTGCATGCTTCCTCCCCTCACTTGTTTCCTCCCTCCATTTCTCTCTCCCAGGGATCTTTCGGAGAACAATCTTACAGGCAGCATCCCTGATACATTGGGTGGACTCAATAAGCTGGAATTCCTGTAAGTTGCATTTTCATAATGTGCATCTGTTGTCCATCATAATACATGACACATTAAAGCACCTTAAGCTGAACTGCTGATGACAAAAAAACTGATGACAAAACTGCTGATGTTGAAACTGCTGATGACGAAACTGCTGATGTTGAAACTGCTGTTGACGAAACTGTTGATGACTAAACTGCTGATGACGAAACTGCTGATGACTAAACTGCTGATGACGAACGTTCCAGAAGTCTCAGTCCTTACCTCTTGATTATCTGAAAAGCCAAATTATTCCAGAAACCGTTGCAGTTCACTAACTTGATCCTCACCTTAACCAGTACTAATCCTGGCCACATTTGCATCCAACCCTTGAACCACTATCTGCTACTACAGCGTTATATACTTCGCCATACATGTGTGGTCGTAGTATCGGTTGCTCCATACATCTCGGTTTCTCCACATGTGTGTTGTGAAGTCTTAAGTGTATCGCCATGTTACTTCGCATCTCCAATTTCTCAGATTGTTACGCAAGAATCTGCTTTCCAAAGCGATCCCTGATGTGCTTGGCTCGCTCAAGGCACTGCTAGCTCTGTAAGTATCTGCCAGACAAATAGGATTCTTTCTTGCATTGCGCCACTTTCTCTTGGGTGTTCGGCTGGTCACTTGTGGTCAACCTGTCACTTCCCACAATTTGGTTAACTTCTGCTCTCTTCACTGAAATTTATTCTGCAATTGTCGTACATGCTTCCATGCAATTAACATCTGGTAATGCTGAATGTCCACCTTGTGAGTGAAGGAATCCAATGTCACATCTTGTTTCTATTTCCCACCTCATTGTTTACGCACTTGTCCTTCCCCTATTTTCTGCAGTGACCTTTCTACCAACCAGCTTTCAGGCACCATCCCGAACAGCTTCAGTGACTTTGGTAGATTGAAATTCTTGTGAGTGCAGGCACATGAACCCCTTGATTATGTACCTTCTTAACAAACACTGACATAATCCTACACAATACTGGTAGGAACCTATGTTAAGAAAAGATACCTGAACAGCATCACAGACACAAAATTGTATGCTATTGTTCTCACTAATTCCTGAAACACTTCTTACAAGAATGTATGCCAGCTCTTAACAATGGTATAGAATATGAATAAAAAACGAGTCATGTTAATGTATCTATGGTAGACATGAGCAAATTTTTGAATGCCTGTTCGGTTCGTCCGAACATGTTTCATGACCAAACCGGACCGAACATGTTTCTTGGCAAAAAATGTTTGGCCGAACATGTTCGATGTTCAGAAGAGGGGGGGAGGGGGGGGGGGAGGGGGGGGAGGCGACGAGGGAGGAGCTGGACCACTGAAAACACACTCTCGAACCTTGCACATATTTGGGTTCGCCCCGAACATGCAGATGTTCGCCCCCTATCACGAACCTCGAACACTCTAAATCCCCAAAAGATGTTCGGGCGAACCGAACATGTTCACTTTTGCCCCCTTCACATGTTCGTGCAGGGCGAACCATGTTTCGTGTTTGCTCATTGCTCATGTTTAATCCATGGTATAAACATCGCTGATCCTCGCACCGGCAGTCTGACTTGAATACCAGTAGAGCCTTGCGCCATAAGTGGTAATGTGTACCCAATATTGTCCCTTATATCATATGACCCACAGGTATCTTTACAAAAATCTTCTGTCTGGAAGTATTCCTACCAGCATGGGCACCTTGACGTCTTTGGTGTCTCTGTAAGGCATCTCACACTTCTGCCTATCAATCTTCTGTGTTCCTTGCTCATACCGAATTAAATCTCTTCTCTGAGTTGACCTATGCCTTCAAATCACACAAGAGCCTCATCTGTTCTGGCAATAGATCGTACATTTGGTTTTCCACGTCACTGTACTGATCCCCCACTTCCCCAACCCCCAACCTTCCTGCCCACCTGCCTTCCACCTTCCTCCACACCTTTCCTTGCTGTCAAAAGTTCTCTTGATTCCAACAAGTTGTCGGGTTCTGTGCCCTCCTCTCTCACAAAGCTCACAGGAGTCACAAGCCTGTAAGCTCATACAGGAAAAGCAGGTTTCCAATATTTCCAGTCCAGAGGTCAAGAAATCTCAGTGTAGCAAGTAGCTCCCTACTGAGTATTTGAAGGCACGCACGCCTCTTCGTTTCCAGCACGCCTCCTCGTGATAGGCAGTATCGTTCATGGGTCCTGCAACAATGATGGTTTTATCAAGATGCGGAGTCTACAAATTTGTCTCATTTGAGAACAGTTCCTGAAGTTCCCCATTTGAGTATGTCTCTTTTCATTTTCCCAAAAAACTCCCTTGCGTTTCATAGGGTTCTTGACAAAAATCAACTCACTGGCTCTATCCCAGCAGGCATCAGCTCGCTCACAAATCTCGTAGTCCTGTAAGCCACTTACCTTCTTCTCATGCACACACCTTCCGGCTCTTCTCATCTTCCCTTTTAAATGATGAATACTTGAAATTCTCATTCCCACCATGCAGCTCTTACCAGGATTCGTGTATCCAGCCACCATCAAGACATGAAAAGCACGAACAAATCAAAGACACACCTCGTTCCATAGTGATGGCCAATCTAATCCCCTCCTCCCGTCCCCTCTACTCTAATCAGAGCCTTGTCTCGCAACCATCTTGTTGGATCCATCCCTCACTCCATCGGTGCCTTCTCCAGTATATCTATCATGTAATCCTCACCAGAATATTCCCCATGAATTGCTCTTGAGCGTATCTGCTTTGTACTGCTCACTTCCATTTCGTGACTTGCCAGCTGCTTTCTTATACAATAAGTTGCTAACGCGCTCTCATCTTCATATAACGTTTTCCCTTGCCGGTTTCTTTCAGCAAACTGCAGCGCAATCTTCTCACTGGAACAATTCCTGTGGCCATTGGGGACCTTTCCCGACTGGGTTACCTGTAAGCCCATTGAATTAATTTTTGTGATTAACACAAAATCGTGCAATTATCGCAATGACAATCATTGAATATTCAACAGGAGTATATAAGTCAGATAATGTTTTGTTGTTTAGTAGATGAGTCCAACAGTATTCAAGATTATTTTGTAGGATTGAATTGTTTGGTGTAAAAAAATTAATGTTTAGTATATTCAATATGTTCCTGTATGGCTTGTTAAATCTGTTGATTAAAGATATCACGTCCAAGAGTAGTTAAGATATACCTAGCTGTAAGGCCTTCTCAATTATTTAAGAATGTGCATATATACTTATCGTTTGGCCCATACAATCGCACGCCATGTCACTAACATCTCACCTCTTCTCCATGCACAGCACACGCACCAGTGTCTGTCACATTTCACGCACGGACATGCATGCATCAAGTTCCCCTGTGCTCTTTTTTCTCTTCCGTCCATGGCTAAGAAGCCAGGCCTATGTGCTCTCCTCAGTACTTATCAAACACTGGATTGCTCTTCGTCAAAGGAGCTTACTTGTCTACGATACTGATCAAGGTTGTTTTCCAACCTTGAGGCTGCCTGCTTGATGCTGCATGCTTCCACCACAATTCACACCAGGTCGCTTGCTTCCAACCAGCTGTATGGTCGCATGCCTAGCACGTTCACCGAGCTCACAAGCCTCACCTACCTGTAAGCCATACTGCAGCGCCACAACACCTTCTGTAGTTCAGACAATTATTTTTTAATGGACCCACAAATTCTGTATCTCTCTCAAATTGCAAGCTGTGAGCTTCTAGAACACTTGAGGGAGCTGGTTTTGTATTGCAAACACAGCTACCTGCATCAACCGTCTTAAAGGCTCCTCCACCATTGATCGTGTTGAAATTTATGAAATTTGGATTGAAGTTTTGCATATCAGGGTTTCACACATCAATACCAATAGATTATATGGGAACCTTGGTGATGTGACTAGATTCACTACACCCGCTAGCCAAGTTAAGAAGCTGAATGAACACAATTGAACCCCATATTCATTCATCACTCCACTTCACTCATTCCACTCAACATCCTAAGTTCTAAATCCTTTGCACGCAATTTCCTGTCCTCTTCCCCAACCCTCGCCCTCCCCTCCCAGCGACCTCTCCCGCAACTACCTCACAGGCCCCATCACGCTGCCCGCCATCAGCAGCCTGCGTGTCTCCAGCAACTTCTTCTCCGGCCCTCTGCCGGACGGGGCATGCCAGGCGCGCAACTTCGATGCCAACTGCTTCACACTGCCTTCTGACTGCTCCCTGGTGGTGCAACGAAAGGAAGCAGCATGCAATGCGTTCTGTGGTATCTCCTCTGCTGCGAATTCATCCTCTGCTGGTGCAAGTGCTGCTGCTTGTGCCGGTAGAGGGATATGCACTCCAGACCTGGTCAGCATGTCTGCGAGCTGTTTGTGTGATGCAGGGTTCATAAAGGCTGGAAGAACCTACTGCATCTCAGAAGGTAAGCTCTTAGTTCTAGCAAGCTTACAACCAGGGCAGGCAGAAAACATGGTTTATGACATTTGCACGCTTCCTGCAAAAGTATTTCTAACCTCACTAGAGATTCTTTGTGGAGTTCCATAAGCACAAGGCACAGCAACAAGACTCCCCATCTGAACCTTGCCACCATTAGCTTTACCCAATGGTCCACATATCTCTTTGAAGCGTCTTCACTTTAAGACTGGGGTTTTTCACTCTCATCCTCACCCTCACATAAGTATTCACCTTGACTGCCTTGCATGGGTTCAGGCGTAATTGTAAGCCATTCAGTCAGCCAGCCTATCGTTCCGCCAACAACTGTGCTTACCAAGGGGACAGTGAAGGAGACGGGAGGGAAGTTCACCGCAGCTCCAGTGACTCTGTTTGTTTTCGAGGAAGGGCAGGCCATGTATGGGTGTGGAGCGCAACTGGCCTTCCAGGTCAACTTCACCGTCGCAATCTTGCCCCGATCAGGCCCCACGGGCAGCGGAGGCTTTGCCTTTGTCATCTCGTCAACAGACCAACTTGGAAGCGGATCCGGTGTGGGGTATAGTGGAATGGACAGCCACAGCATAGCAGTTGAATTCGACACTCAACAAGACAAGCAGCAGGGGGACATGCTCAACCAGCACGTGGGGCTGAACATTCAAGGCCAGGAAAGGTCGCTAGCTGCTGTGAAGGCGCCATTTCCTCTTAACAACAAGAAGCCATACACGGCATGGGTGGACTATGAGCCTGGGGAGCCCGGCACCATCCAGGTGTTCCTGGCTGCTTCGGAGGTGAAGCCAGTGGAGCCGCTGCTGGAGAGGAGGGTGGCGCTGTGTGAGGTGCTGCAGGCTGGAGCGGAGCAGCAGGCGTTCTTCTTTGGCTTTGTAGCGTCCACTGCAAAGCCATTCCAGATGCAACTTATCCTCAGATCAGCACTGCACACAGGTAAGCGATGTGTTGGTGGTGATGCTCGTGGTGGTGGTGGTGGTCGTCGTCGTTGTCGTGGTGGTGGTGGTCGTCGTCGTCGTCGTCGTGGTGGTCGTCGTGGTCGTCGTGGTCGTCGTGGTCGTCGTGGTCGTCGTGGTCGTGGTCGTGGTGGTTGTGGTGGTGGTCGTGGTGGTGGTCGTGGTGGTGGTCGTGGTGGTCGTGGTGGTCGTGGTGGTGGTGGTGGTCGTCGTGGTCGTGGTCGTGGTGGTGGTGGTGGTGGTGGTGGTGGTGGTCGTCGTGGTGGTGGTGGTGGTCGTCGTGGTGGTCGTGGTCGTGGTGGTCGTGGTGGTCGTGGTGGTGGTGGTGGTCGTCGTGGTGGTGGTCGTGGTGGTCGTGGTGGTCGTGGTCGTGGTCGTGGTCGTGGTCGTGGTGGTGGTGGTGGTGGTGGTGGTGGTGGTGGTGGTGGTGGTGGTGGTGGTGGTGGTGGTGGTGGTGGTGGTGGTGGTGGTGGTGGTGGTGGTGGTGGTGGTGGTGATTGGGTGATGCTGATTGAGATTATCGCATGCATTGCTGCTCTACATGCATTGCACACATGTAAAGCTTTAGTTGCCTCTACAGCTATTTTGTGGTGCTAAGGAATCGGATTTACAGTACCACAAGTGAGACTATATGAGATTGTTCAGCCCGTTGAGTGCTTCTCAACTCTCCATGCTTTGAATCAATTCTCCATATTGTGTGGTGTTGCTCATGTGTGCCTTTTTTTTGCAGGTCTTCCTGCTGTACACAATCCAGTGGGCATCATTCCACGTAAGCAACCCTCTTTTCCATTGCATCAATGACTAATGAACTCCTGGTTCTCATATATTTTATCTCCCAATGGTCCTCTTTCAACAGCCTGGTGTTTGTATGTTATACAGCATTCTCACACTCTGTTCTGCTGTCTTTCTCTCCAGTGTTACCGATTTAATAAAGCGCATGTTTGTACAACCACATCCCTCCACATTTCAACAACTACTTCCTCTGCTCTGAACCCACCTTCACCATCTCAGCCTTTGGCCTGAGTATTTCTCCAGCGTCATATGCGCCAGTGGGAGCCAGTCCCTTCATGCGCTACATGAGTGTGGACTACCAAGGTTTGCCCAACCAGCCGAATGAATGGCACGTCAGCAGCTCCCATTCCTGGGACTCCATGTCCTTCCTCGGCTGGCCCGTCAAGAACCAGAAGGACTGCAGTGAGTAGGCATGGTTAGACTGAATAACCTGTACAAGAGAATCTAGCCTTTTTCACACTCAGAGGTTGTGGTGTGTTGTGATTTCTTAGTGGTTTTTTTTATATATATTTTTGCGGTGGTCTTTTTCCGAAAAAGGGAGGCAGGTTAGTACCCCTCTTCGTTTTCACTATCTTAATCCTTCAAAACACTACCGTCTTCCAGATGCGAGTTGGGCATATGCGGTGGTGGCGAGTGTGGAGGCGGCATACGGCATTGCACTGAACCAGGAGGCTCCACAGCTGTAAGTGGACTCGCTCTTTGCAGCAATGGGGCTCACCTCCCCTGCTGCCAAGTGCACCACAGGAAACTCCCCTGCTGCTGCCTTTAAAAGCTCCTCACTCTACTACGTGGTGGATTTATGGGGTTTACCAATTCGGTAAGAAAGATTTGTTCGCAAATTCCATGCAACCCAGCAAGCACATTCACAATCTTTGGTACGCCATATTGTATCACTTCATCTTTTGTGATCTTTCTTCTCTCTTTTCTCCTGTGTCATCCTGTCTGTACTAGTAGGTTGAATCCAAGCTCTAAGTAGTTCTTTTATTAATATATTAATCTCCCAACTGTCTCTGTGCTCTGGCCTGCAGATATTAAGCTTCCCCATCCAGGGTGTTGAGCGCACACAGTTCAAGGGGTATGTGGGGCTCATGCTGGCAGTGCGGCGGCAGCCAGTGGTGGTTCACATCGAAGCCTCTGCCTCCACATTCGTACAATATGATGGGGTGAGTACAGATCACGATAGTATGTGATATTTGTGGTCGTGTGGTTAAAAAATCCTTAGACATTCAGTGGAGGCATGGATACCTTGTAGGGGCTTCAACCGTTTATGAACATATATGCCCTATGAGAGTTACTATCATTTACATTGCCATGTAGTACCGTTGCTTGTGGCCTAATGCATATGTTGCTCAAATAATTACATTATTTTCACCATCATCCCTTCCTTTTCCAGAGCGTTAAGTACCAAGACCCTGTTTGCTACACTGGCAACCTGAACCATGCTGTTCTCGTTGTTGGGTACCTAATTTCAACAAATGATGACAGTCAAAGCTCCAATGTTCCACCTTATTGGATCATCCGCAACTCGTGGGGAGTGGAGTGGGGCGACAGGGGCCACATGCGCATGGACATTCAGGGAGGGGATGGCGTGTGTGGCATCAACGTGCTGCCTGGCATCTACCCTATTGTCAAGAGTAAGGGATGTACTTCGCTGTTCATAGCCATGCCTACAACCACTGTTCATACAAGGAGACATAATCTTGCTAGGTCACAAAATTAAACGCACATTCACATTTCTCATAGCTATTCACATCTGCCATACTACTTGCGTGTCCTCTCCACATTCCCTGCAGTTCCCAAGGATCTTTGTGGCCAAAAGAGCTACAAGGGCGTTGGGGACCTGCAGCCTAGTATGAACCCGTGTGGTCGCTTCACATGCAAGCCAAATGCAAAGGCCAACACCAACGCCTGCGACTGCACCATACCTAACCAGGCCACACAACCCTTCGTTGAGGTGGCAAACGGATTAGGCTCCAACACATGTGCATACGGTGAGTCATGCTTACAGCCAAGCAAGTCTATTGAAAGAAACTATGTGGAGGTGTTCCTGCAAGTCTATTTAAAGAAACTATGTGGAGATGCTGATGCACCCATGGCGTGTTTCTGTAAGTCCACCTTTTCTGTTGGCATCCCTTACATTGCATCTCTCACTGCCCATGTTCACCCCCTCTCATGAATCCAACAGTTGACATGTGCGGTTCTTATCCTATGAACCCCTGCGCTGTGGGCACATGCGTGAATGATGGCAAGGGCGCCTACTCCTGCATCTGCCCTCCCAACTACATAGAGAGCAGGACCATTTACAACTCCTCCACCTGTGATCCTGGTATTGCCAGTCCGGCCTCAATCACTCATGTAGCCCTTTTTTTTCTGATTCATGCATTTGTTAGAGTATGATGGGTTGGATGTTATCCCAGCAAGCTGGATTATCCAATGTGACAACCTTCCAGTGTAGCATCACCAAGCTTCAGATGACCTCAAGTGCACTTTCTTGGCACCATCTACTCCGTACGTGTGTTATTCTCCTGTCCCTCCAGCCAACACCACAGCAACTACTTTGACGGTCACCGGTGCTAACTGGTGGTGCTCCGACATCCTTCCTGCAACCGGTCTTTCCTTGGCTAGCCTTCCACAGCAAACCGTGGTGAGAGAGGGCTAACCCTGTCATCCTAATATGTGGACTTGCCTTCGGTGGAGAAATCATCCGACAATATGGGGAAAAGCATTTCTCCAAAAACTAATATCTTCTCCAAAGGGCATGCCATCCAAAAACAAATATCTTACACTACAGGTGAGTGTTTATGTCTATAGGAGGTTCAATATGGAGACATACAAGGTAAACATAAACGTGAGGCAGGCATGGAGCCAGCCTAGCTAGAGCCAGCCCTGGTTTCCAATGGGCAGGGCCAACATATCCGACAATTCGGACCATGGTGGGCCAGCCCCAGGCCAAGCCCCGTAGTCCTGGTGTGTCACTTTCTTTCATGGGAGTTTGGTTTTATCTCGAGTTCCGACTCCAGCTACCCATCGTTCAGATCTCTCTACCCGCCTTCTGTCCGAGCTGCCTCTGGGTTGTCATCAGCCTTGTTTGACTCACGAATGGGATGGCTGCAAGTGGCTTATCCTTGTTGCTCAGGCCATGGTTCAAATTTCTCACATGCTCGGCACAACCCCAGCCAGTCCCAGCATATGCTCATTTGTAGGATGGATGTAAATGTCTGGTACTATGGAACCCCTCCTATGTATTGCAGGCCGTGGAATGCAGCCAACCACTGGCCAAAGGCAAAGTAATTCGGCTGGGCAGCACTACTACCACCCCCTGTACTGCCTTCTTCTATACAATCAATGTGAGCCCTGGTTCCCAAGAGGAGATTTATCTTGTGAAAGCTGTGATTTTTTATTTATCGTTGTTTCTAAGTCCATGTATCTGTATAAAACGATGCAAGAAGAGGCACCCTTCTACCGTCTATCCATGACCATCAACACACAACACAACTGCAATGAGCAGCAGCATTTTCTTGCAAGCCGTTGTCTCACTGTGCTGTTTCCCTTCAACAAGCCCTCCTCTGCTTTCTCTCTCGCCCTCTATCTCCTCCAGGGTGACAGCTGTTCGTTTATCAGCACCCAGCTTGGAATCTCATCGACTTATCTTATCTCTCTCAATCCCAGCCTCGACTGCTCTAAGCCCATCAAGGCAGGACACTCTCTGTGCCTCGAGCGCAACGCCACCTTCGCCTTCACATCCCCTAAGTGCTTGCAGTACGGCATGCTCATAGCACAGGACACGTGTGAGGGCCTGCTGCAGCAGGCCTTGGAGTCTAGTGAGGAGGAACCTGAGGGGCCGGTAGCAGTGACTGCAGACAGCTGGATTGAGCTCTACCGCAACAATCCCGGCCTCATCTGTCCCCGCACCTCTCCTGCGTCCAGCGCCACTGTTGCCAGTGTGAACAGCGTGCAGGTGAGGTTTGACATTGTGTCTTAGCATGTTGCTTTTTTCTCGTTTCTGATTTTGTTATTTTTTAACTTTGTTTTCGTGTCCACACTGTGCATGAAACGACTATCCCAGGTTTGCCTGAAGGCAGACTACGAGCGGTTGAGTGCTCACAGCTGCAGGAAGGGCAGGCTCAAAAAAGTGTCACCATCACTGACATGTGGGGGAGCTTTAAGCTTCTACGGTGGAGCTAATCCTGGAGCAATCACAAATTATTATAAGCACAATGGAGAGACATGCTCGGGAACTGTAGGTCTAGAGTTTCTTTGCGTTCCCTAGTCCATCGTTGTGTATTTTAGTAGGAATTTGATATTTGGGTACTTTTACTTGACTAATACATTGAAGGGTGCTTATGTTGGAACATAGGGCGTAGTTTGGTGATCCTACATTGCACCCTGTCCATATATGTCGGTACATATTTCTATCATGCGTGTATGAGTAATAAGAACAAATTTAAGGTTATTTGCATGCTACTAAATGTTTGCGGACATCGTAATCCCCCGGATAAATGACCCTAGGGGCTTTTATCGATTAAAAAAATAACAAATCAAGGAAGGGGGGGGGGGGCTATATATATGTTTAGTAAAATTTTGAAGACCTGGGACTTTCTTTTGTTACTACAGATGCAAGTAATTGCAATCATGTTGGGAGTGCCTCCTTTTTAAACACACAAAACCCACATGAATGTGGGCAGGCTTTAGCAGGGGGAGGTGGAGAACTGGGTGGGGAACTGAACTCCTCAGCGCCAACCCCTTTAGTTTCAGTCAATGATCACAGATTCTGTACTCCAATCTGATACAATCTGAACTGTCTTATAGGGTCGTCTCAGGTTGATCGCACGAAGTGTAGCAGCGGAAGATTGCTTGGGTAATATCGCGTACGGACTCTGTCAGAAGAGGGAGATTTGAATCTCGACAGAAATGACTAATACGATGCGGTACAGGGGTCTATATAGGAATATCGTGGAATGCGAAAGGTCCTAGCTAGCCATGTACTCTGAGGGGGTACATTCCTCTTAAGGCTAATCTAGATAACTCCTTCACCTATGATACTGGTACTGCCAATCCGGCCTCACTCATTCATGTAACCCTCTTGACTGATTCATGCACTTGATAGAGTATGATAGGCTGGTTGATATCCCACCAAGATGGACTATTTAAAGGGATTGCGCATGTTGACAACCTTTCAGTGTAGCATCACCAAGCTTCACTTAACCCTTTTCACTCATGTACTTGATAGAGCATAATGGATTGGTTTCTATCCCAGCGAGCTGGACTATTCAAACTGATTGTGCACGCTGACAATCTTTCGTTGTAGCATCACCAAGCTTCAGATAACCTCATGTGCACTTTCTTGGTACCATCTACTCTGCGCGTGTCTCCTTCTTTTGCCCCTCCAGCCAACACCACAGCAACTACTTTGACGGTCACTGGTGCTAACTGGTGGTGCTCCAACGTCCTTCCTGAGACCGGTCTTTCCTTGGCTAGCTTGCCACAGAAAACCGTGGTGAGAGAACGCTGACCCTTCATCCTATTATGTGGACTTGCATTTATTTGAGAAAATACCAGAGGATCTGGGGAATAATTCAAAGTAAGTATGTATACCAGCAGGTACCATCCTCTAAGTGAAAAGGATTTCTCCAAAAAAAAATATATTCTCCGAAGGGCATACCATCCAAATAACTACTTTTACCACTGCGGGGAACTGGTTATGGTAGTCGGAGGTTGAATATAGAGACGTAGAAGGAATCAACGTGAGCCAGGCCAGGAGCCAAGCCGGCACATCTAAAGCCAGCCCTGGTTTCCAACGGGCTGGGCCAACATATCTGACAATTCAGACCATGGTGGGCCAGCCCCAGGCCAAGCCCCGTAGTCCTGGTCTGTCACTTTCTTTCATGGAAGTCTGGTTTTTTTACGAGTTCCGACTCCAGCAACCCATCGTTCAGGTCTCTCTACCTGCCTTCTATCCTAGCCATCGAATTGGATGTTAGGTGTCTCTCAGTTGTCCTCAGGCCTTGTCTGAGTCACGAACAGGGTGGCTGCAAGTGGCCTTTCCTCATTGGTCGGGCCACAGATAGCCTGTCCTTGTTTCTCAGGCCGTGGCCCAATTTTCTCACATTCTCGGCACTACCCCAGCCAGTTCATAGAATGTGCGATTGGATAGTAGCAGACATTTACATCCAACAAGGATGTCCTAGACATTTACAAGGATGTTAGCTGTCTCTGATTTGACATCAGGCTTTGACTGAGTCACGAATGAGGTGGATGCCAGTGGCTTATCCTTGTTGATCAGGCCATGGCCCAGATGTCTCACATGCTCGGCACAACCCCAGCGGTTCCCAGCATTTTCTCATTCGTAGGATGTGTGATTGAATAGTATCACACATTTACATCCAACATGGAACCCCTTCTATGTATTGCAGGCCGTGGACTGCAGCCAACCATTGTCCAGAGGCAAAGTTATTCAGTTGGGCAGCACTACCACCACCCCCAGTACTCTATACAATCAATGTGAGCCCTGGTTTACAAAAGGAGATTCAGCTAGCGAAAAGTGTGCTTTTTATTTATATTTCTTTCTCCAAGTCAACGTATCTGTATAAAACGATGCACGAAAGGACACCCTTCTACCATCCATCCGCGACCATCAATACACAACCCACCTCCAATGAGCAGCAGCATTTTCTTGCAAGCCGTTGTCTCACTGTGCTGTTTCCCTTCAACAAGCCCTCCTCTGCTTTCTCTCTCGCCCTCTATCTCCTCCAGGGTGACAGCTGTTCGTCTATCAGCACCCAGCTTGGAATCTCATCGACTTATCTTATCTCTCTCAATCCCAGCCTCGACTGTTCCGAGCCCATCAAGGCAGGCCACTCTCTGTGCCTCGAGCGCAATGCCACCTTCGCCTTTACAACCCATAAGTGCTTGCAGTACGGCATGCTCACAGCACAGGACACGTGTGAGGGCCTGCTGCAGCAGGCCTTGGAGTCTAGTGAGGAGGAACCTGAGGGGCCAGTAGCAGTGACTGCAGAGAGCTGGGTTGAGCTCTACCACAACAATCCCGGCCTCATCTGTCCCCGCACCGCTCCTGCGTCCAGCGCCACTGTTGCCAGTGTGAACAGCATGCAGGTGAGGTTTGGAGAACCAGAGCATTTGGGTTATGGCAATGCAATGTGTATTTGCATGCCGTTTTTTTTCTTTTTTCTTTCTTTTGTTTGTTTGTTCTTTTCCTGTTCTTGTTTTGTAACTTTGTTCTTTTCTCCAATCTGTGCATGCAAATTCTATCCCAGGTGTGCCTCATGGCAGACTACGAGTCTCTGAGTGCTCACAGCTGCAAGCAGGGCAGGCTCAAGCTAGTGTCACCATCTCTCACGTGTGGGGGAGATTTGAGCTTCTACGGTGGGGCCAAGCCAGGAGCTGTCACAAATTTCATTGAATACAATGGAAGGTCATGCTTAGGAACAGTAGGTTTGGAGTTTCTTTGCGTTCCCTAGGGTATTTTGTGTTTCGATGGGGGTTAGATCTTTAGATTTTTTTCCTGACATGCATTAACGGTGCTTTCGCAGGAAAATGGGCCATAGTTTGGTGATCCTACATGGTAACGATCAAAGTATACGACACCCAGGATATTGCATTCTGTCTAAGCAAAGAGATACAGTATGCTTGTTAGTAGTTACTTGTTGATTACATGTTACAGAGTGTATTTCAATAGGCCAATTTCTGGCTCAGACAGAATGTAGTGTTCCCGATTCAGCCATTTGGCGTTACTTACCGCAATTGCCCGTTTGGTGGATCCACTAGAGGGGGCGGACCTCGTGTTAAAGCCAGCAGCTAAAATAGTGACCCCCCCCTTCTAGTTGGGTCCACTTGAAAACAGAGTTTTTTTTGGAACACTTCGGAAAGTTGGAAGTGCTGTGCTTTTTATTTTTCCACTCCATACGAGTCTCATTGTGAACGGAGAACATTTTGACCATGTGTACAATTCTGACTGGCAGCGAAACTCACACACAACTCACACATACTTGTGTGCGAATTTGGCGCAAGGGGTTGCAATGCCTGTATTCACTCGAGCGCTCATGGGACTTCACCAAAACTCACATCAATCAACAACACATGGAAAATCCAGCACACACCCATATGCAAGAGATGAGAGCAGAGCTGCGATAAAATACGTATCCTTGGACTTGGGGCTGAAAGAAGTTAAAAAAAAAGGGTGGAGAAAATAAGTTTGGCAAGGTAATAACCAGCGGATGGGAGGGGAGAGTGCAAAAGCGACGGGAAGAAAGGGGAGAGAGGAGGAACGACGGGATGGGAGGGGAGAGGAGGCGAACGACGGGATGGGAGGGGAGAGGAAGCGAACGATGGGGTGGGAGGGGAGAAGAGGTGAACGACGGGATGGGAGAGAGGAGGCGAACGACGGGACGGGAGGACGTGAGGGCGATGTCGATTGGAGGGAGGAACGTGAGCGCGATGCCGACGGGAAGGGAGGACGTGAGCGATAGGAGATGAAGTGGGCGACGGGAAGAGAGGGGAAATTGCAAGGGCGATGGGAGGGAGAGCGCCCATGCGATGGGACAGAGAGCGAGAAGGCCACGAGGGAGAGAGCGCGAAGGCGACGGGAGGGAGAGCGCGCAGTCGACGGGAGGGAGATCGCGAAGGCAACGGGGGAGAGAGCGCGAAGGCGACGGGAGGGGAGAGAAGAAGGTGACGGGAGGGAGAGCGAGCAGGCGACGGGAGGGGAGAGAAGAAGGCGACGAGAGGGAGAGCGAGCAGGCGATGGGAGGGGAGAGAAGAAAGGCCACGAGGGGAGGGGAGAGCGCCCATGCGATGGGACGGAGAGCGAGAAGGCCACGAGGGAGAGAGCGCGAAGGCGACGGGAGGGAGAGCGCGCAGTCGACGGGAGGGAGATCGCGAAGGCAACGGGGGAGAGAGCGCGAAGGCGACGGGAGGGGAGAGAAGGTGACGGGAGGGAGAGCGAGCAGGCGACGGGAGGGGAGAGAAGAAAGAGACGGGAGGGAGAGCGAGCAGGCGATGGGAGGGGAGAGAAGAAAGGCCACGAGGGGAGGGGAGAGCGCCCATGCGATGGGACGGAGAGCGGGAAGGCCACGAGGGAGAGAGCGTGAAGGCGACGGGAGGGAGAGCGCGCAGTCGACGGGAGGGAGATCGCGAAGGCAACGGGGGAGAGAGCGCGAAGGCGACGGGAGGGGAGAGAAGGTGACGGGAGGGAGAGCGAGCAGGCGACGGGAGGGGAGAGAAGAAAGCGACGGGAGGGAGAGCGAGCAGGCGATGGGAGGGGAGAGAAGAAAGGCGTTAGGAGGCGGGCATTTCAGGGAGAGAGCAACCGTCAACGAGGACGATGGGAAAGGCGACAGGGAGAAAACTTGTCGACAGGAAGGGAGGGGAGAGCGAGGGTGACGGACATCGGACGAAAGCGTGATGGCGAAGGCGCGATACAGGAAACTAGCCCATGCGGAAAGGTAACGAAAGCCTGCGGAGGGGAAATTCTTACGATACTATGCTACGCGACAGTCTTACGCATTCCTGGAGGGTCGAGCGCGATACCTACCTTGGCCACAAACACCTATTGTTGCCAGCTAAAATATGCTAGGAATATAACTAGTGACTTCGGGATTGTGAGCAGGTGGTCATGAAACCCAGTTCCAACTTGAAACCAACGTTGGCCTGGCGACGGAAACCATCGCCAGGCAACCGTCGTGCAGGTGTAGCACGAAAACGTGCGACGAGGGAGATCCGGATGGAAAAACATTTTGGCGGGAACAAGACAGCACAAGATTGGCGAAAGCCAATCACATTTGTTCAAGCCCCTGCTCGTTTTCTTTGGAACAGTGCTCTATCGGCCCGTTCTCTGGAGCACCATTTCAAGTTGGGACAGGGTTCATTATTTTATATTCTGGTTTTAAGACCCCAATTCTGGGGCATGACAGATAAATAAATAATACTTCAGTAACTTCCTACTACACTCCAGAGCAAGCAAAAATGGCAATGCATTGGTTATGTTGTGAGAGCAGCTCAGACCACTCCCTAAAATTCTTGCCCCATGTAACACTACTGTTAACCCCGTCTTCAGCATGCGGTTCTGAGGCATGTCAACTTGGTAACTAGTCATCACACACGCACATTAGAGCATCCATGGAAAAATCAATCACTCATCCATCAGCCACAGCTTCATACTCCTGAAGCATTTTGCCTTGTTCTTAATCTCCATGCCACAGTTGTTGTGCACCGCAACCAACCGCTCTCACTGCGCCTCAAACCACTCCTGATTCCCCACAGCCAACCACCCAGTGGGAAACAGAGGCATGGGTAACATCCCTACAGAAGCTCCATCCTTCTGACTATCCTCCTCGTGACTCTCCTCCATCAAACATGCTATGGCTCAGTTCATAAGAGTGGAGGCCTTTGGTTCGTAGCTTTCCGAACCTGAACCGGAGGCTTGGGCCCGAACCAGCCATCGCTGCTGCTACCGCTGCTGGTGGAGGTTTCTTGTGGACCTGTTCCTATCTCCGCCACTTTTCTCCTATGATTGGAATAGGCTTGCTTTGCCCAATCTAAAGATAAATGCTTAGTGGGTGTGGATGGGCGGAGGGCTATTAGCCAGACTGATAGGAAATCCAGCTGCTGCTGGAGAAGGGGTGCGGTGGTGGTAGCAGCAGTGGCAGCAGCAGTAGCAGCAGCAGCCGCATTGGCGGAAGGGTCGCTAGGGTTTGAAGTTGGAGTAGAAGCAGACGCGGGGGAGGCAGAGGTGGAGAGGAGAGTGAGAGGCAAAGAGTGGGGAGGAGGAAGAGTAGGAGGAGGAGGAAGTGGTTGTGGTGATTAGTGATGGGGACTGGTCTTGGAATGAAGGAAGGATGAGGTAATAGTCTGGGGAGACGAAGGGGATGCGGTCCTTTAACCATACAGTGCTGACATCACTGCATGAGAGGGAAGGACAAGGGGCAGTAGGAGAGGAACTATGAGAGAAAGACAGAGAAAGAGAAGAAAGAAAGAGAAGAGAGGGAATAGGGAGAGACAGATAGAGAAACATAGAAAGACAGGGGGTTGCTTGAAAAGGCTAGAGATTTTCATAGATGATTTGTGAGCATTTGAATAGAATGTCACGGCAGACTCGAACAGATTAAAAAACACAGCACGATAAACGGTCCCGAAATGAAACATGATAATCACGGGAAGTAACTGTGCAGTTCGCCACATCAAACCGCATCACACCGCATCGAACCGCATCATACCTGACGATGGTGCTCTGCTCTGCCTGCATGAGCTGAGCTGCCAGGAGTGCTGGAAGCGCAGAGCACACCCAAGAGGCATTGGCGGATGGGACTTGGGGGGAGGTTGCTGCTGAACCCAGGGATAGACGATGCCACGGCCTGTGGCGAGATACGGAAGCAGGGAGGCAGGGATGCAAACAGAGGGAAAGGAAAGGGGCAGGGAGGAAGACCAGGTGTTAAGGAAGGGCAGGGAAGGGGAGGAGGTTGTTGCTGAACCCAGGGATAGACGATGCTACAGCCTATGGTAGAGTGGGTATGGGGGAGAAATGGGGAGCGTACATACAAGGAAGGAGGCAGGGAGAAAGTGGGGCAATTTTTAGGAGGCCAGAAGGGGAGGAGGTGGTTGCTGAACCGAGGAATGGACAATGCCATGGCTAGGAGTGAAACCGAAAAGAGGGGCGCAGCAGTAGCAAGGTAACACAGTAGGTGTTGCTGAACTTTGTTACAGACACTCAGAAATATTGCGATGTCTCAGAAACGGCAGTTGGAGGAAAAGGAGCAGAGGGAGCAGCAGCAGGCAATTTGAAGAGAGGAAGGAGGTGCAAACAGCTCAGCAACAGTTTGAGCTCGAATCTGAACTGGGCAAACAGTCAAATACGAGGCAAACTGGTGGAAGGAGCAAAACACTTAAGAGAGATCACCTCCTCTGCCACTGCAGCCACAAACCGCCCGCCGAATCCAAGCAGTGATACAACCTTAAGCAGACTTGACTTGAGAACAGCTTGAACCCGATTCTAAAAACGTTGTTAGAAGCAGACCATCTGAACGAGCCTCACACAGGCAAACCAACCAGCTCACCTCCTCTACCACTGCAGCCACAAACCGTCTGCCGAATCCAAGCAGCGATATGCCCTTAAGCCAGTTGAGAAGCAGGCCTCCTTCCCCTTCACACACCACCACCACGATAACCCACCCATCCCCCTCCACCCACCGCGCCTCCCTAGCAACTTCCACCAAAGTCCTTTAGCCATCCCTCCCCTTCAAAGTCTAGAGCCAGCCCTTCTATCTCCCTCCTCGCCTCCTCCTTCCGCCCTTCCCCCACTCTCCAGAACCCTGCTTGTTGCAGCCTTTCTCTTTTTGCATACTTCCCAGCTATGTAGTTCGCATGAATGGTAACCGCTCGGGACTTAGAGGTCTCGAACCTCGTCCAGTTATACGTCACCACGTTACCGGAAAGGAATTTTTCGGCGGCAGGACCCCGATCTTAGGCGCAATAACATTCCCGTCCACTATGTTTTTTTTCCAAATCGCCCTGTTTTTGCCATCCTAAACGCCCAAACCGCGATAAAAGCCTTAGCTCTAGGTGTGGGATGAACGTAGAGGAAACAGCTACAGTATATCTTATTTTCCGGATAGTAGCTTAAAGGCTCGCATGCACTTGATGCATTAACGAGTACGCTTTCATCCAGAGTCAAGTAGACACCAAAATCCTCCTCCTCTCCCCCTTCCGCCTGCTCCTCCTGCTCCTTCTGCTCCTCCTGCTGCTGCCCCAATTGTTGCTGCTGTACACCCTCCTCCTCTTTCCCCTGACTTTCTCCCTGAGCCACTTTACTCTCCTGCTCCTCTTGCAACTGCCGCTTTTGCCACCCTTCCTCCTCCCTCTCTGTCCCTGCATCATCTGACACTTCCTCTCCCCTTCCACCAGACTTTCCTGCTCCCTCTCCTCCTCCTTCTGCGGTTGCTCCTACCTCCCCCATATCCCCCTCTCCCCCAGCATCTGTTCCCACATCCCCTGCAACGTTCACTCAAATCCCCCACATCCCCCACATCACTTGCTGCTTCTGCTGCTTCTCCTTCTGCTGCTCCTGCTTTTCTTTTTGCTCTTGCTGCTCTTGCTGCTCCGACTGCTTCTGCTGCTCCTGCTGCCTCTGCTTTCTTTCGTGCTTTCGCTTTGGCCTTTGCCTTTGCTTCAGCTTCTGCCTTGGCTTTCTCCTCTAACTTCGCCTGTGCTTCCGCCTCTACTCTTGCTTGTTCCTCTAATCTTACCTTTTCTTTTGCCGCCAATTCAGCCCGTTTTTCGACCTTCGCTCTCGCAATCCCTACACTCCCCTCCGCTGTAAGAAACGGAATAGGGTTCTGCCCAGCCCAGGCTATATCTATATCGCTGTAAAACACATTAAAGCCAAAGCACAGTAGGTGTAGAATGTACACCGCACGATGCGATGCCACTTTGTGAAAACCAGCATCCCCATAGACATGCGCCGACTCATTACTAATTTTCTCTTCTTGCCCGAACTGCCCTGAAAACGGTAGCAAGATGGCCTACAACAGAGATGAAGAGAAGTTTGGAGACGGTGGAAGTGGGGAGGGGAAGGAGAGAGGGGGGGAGGGGAAGAGGGGAGGAACGATGAAGTTGAGGCGAAAAATGAGACTTGTATGTATGTAGGGAGCAGAGGGAGAAAGAGGAAGGTGGCATAGGCAAGGAAGGATACACCCAGCCCACGCCACGCCACCTAGCCCACACCACGCCACCCAGCCCACACCACGCCACCCAGCCACGCCACGCCACGCCATCCAGCCACGCCACCCAGAAAGGAAGGACCCGTCCATAGGTGTTACTTTTGAGAATTCTCAAAAGACCCGCCACGCCACGCCACCCAGCACACCCACCCACTTGTTGGTGGCGAAGGAAAGGAGGAGGAGAATGTTACGGCGGACAATTGATTAGCGAGAAAAAGGCCAGGATTTGAGAACCCAGTGCATGAGCAAACCGCAGTGCATGAGCAAACCCCCGTGCATGAGCAAACCAGAACCCCTGCATTCCAGGACAGACAGTAGGCAGGCACACCGCATCCCCCCCCTCCAGTGCATGAGCACACCCCAGTCTCCAGTGCAATACGCACCTGGCCCGGCCATTTGCTGGTGGCGAGGCTAAGGCTGTTTGGTCGGCAGTAAAGATGATGAAATGATCGCCAAGTCCCACCGCCTGCTCCCATAAGGACGTTCAGAATCCCATTGCATTAGCAAACGCAAACCCCTGCATGCAGTCGCACCTGACCCGGCCATGTGCTGGTGGCGAAGGCTAGAGCTGTCTGGTCTGCAGCAAAGATGATGAAATGGCCGCCCAGCCCCACCGCCTGCACGTGCCATGCCCAGTTCTCCAGCATGTCGTTGTAGCCTGTGGCAGTGGGGTGCAGGAGCCGGGAGAAAGGGAAGGGGGTGGGAAAAGGGGCAAGGGAGCGAGGGAGCGGGAGAGGGAGGAGGGAGGAGGGAGTTGGGAGGACGGAGGACGGAGGAGGGGGAGGGAGGAGGGAGGAGGGAGGAGGGAGGAGGGAGGAGGGAGGAGGGAGGAGGGAGGAGGGAGGAGGGAGGAGGGAGGAGGGAGGAGGGAGGAGGGAGGAGGGAGGAGGAGGAGGGACGGGGGAGGGGGGAGGGGGGAGGGGGGAGGGGGAGGGGGGAGAGGGGAGGGGGGATGGGGGAGAGGGGAGCACACAATGCTGTAATGCCGTTAAGCTTCACTCGATTCACCATCGCCCACAGCAAGAATGGAACAAGCGCGGGGCGGACCTCCAAAAAAGAGAGGAGAAAGAAATCCCCACCAGCGTTGAGTAAACTAAGATATCAGTGCCGTCGCCGTTGGTCACCACTCGACCCATGAATCGCCCACAGCGAGAACAGGAAAAGGTAAGTGCCGTTGAAGGCAATCGTCTTTGGAGGCGCCTAGAAAAAGAAGGCAATTGTCTCACGCTCACCAGCATTGAAGTAAACGAAGATAACGGTGCCGCTAATCGCCACTCCACTCGCCATCACCCACAGCAGGAAGAAGGTGGGGGAAGGAGGTGGGATGAGAGAGAAGACACTTCACTCACCAGCGTTGAAGTAAACGAAGATAACGGTGCCGTTAATCGCCACTCGAATCGCCATCTCCCAAAGCACCGCCCAACTGCCTGTGGACCTCCGACGCCTGCGACGCATACGACGCTCGCGACGTTCGCGACGTTCGCGACGCCTCTCTCAACACGCGCGACGCTCGCGACTCTCGCGGCGGCGACGCTCGCGAAGCTGGCGATCCGCCATCCCGAGGCGTGGTTTCGAGAGTGTCCTGCTTATGAATAAGAACGCCGCTTCTGGCGATCGGATGTCGAAAAGTAGAAAGCGTTTGAGAATCATGGCGACTAGAGGTCCGTTCCGCTGGAAAGGAGAGCAAGGAATTGACGGGAGGTTGCGGGACGAAGCGCGGAAGAGAAGAGTCTTCGCCGTTTAATGGCTCTGATGCCTCCTTCTGTCAATTGCGCGTCGGTGGTTCTTGCGAGGGTGGCGGTGGCAGCCGCGGCATTGCAACAAGGAGATCGTGCGACGGAGATGAAGAGGAGGACGAGGAGGAGGGGGGGATGCGTAGGGGGAGGACGTGAGAGCGGAGTGCCGTCACGGTCATCTTGAAACGGGCCTTAGAGTACCGCATTTGAGAATCCAATAGCGCTTACGGATTGGATGATGAGCATCGTACGGCGTTGACGTCGCGTCGCGAGTTCCTGGTCGACTGAAAATTCGCCCATGGTTTTTTGACGGGGCGAGCGTTGTGGTCAGATAACTACGATAACTCCAACAGCTCATGAAAAGGGCCGTCTTCCCAGTGATGGGAACTCGGCGAGATTGATCGATTGATCGGATTGATCGATTGATTGATCGAACGGTCCAGCATCTCTTGCTGTACGTGCCACGTGGCCCAATTGCATTGCCAGTAGTTGACTACAAAGCGGATGGTGGAAGAAAGGACTAGAGGGACGCCATTGCTACTGGAACGGTAAAGAGACAGAACGGATGATTGCAGAGATTTCTGCTCTAACGGGAGTTGGTGCTCTACGAAATGCTTCTCTGCAGCCACGCAACTTTGTTGTTCACTAAGGGCGTATCCCTGGCTGGTGGCAGGGCCACTGTAGCTGGCAAGGTTGGTGGCAACTTTCCCAAAAACACAGGGGCCCGGAAAATGCGCATGCCACCAACAGTGCCAGCTACAGTTGCCCTGCCACCACCCAGGGATACGCCCTAAGGAGAAAATTGGCTAAGTGTTGAGAAAGGCATAGATTTGGCACACACAGAAAATTTACTAGAATTGATGAAAAATAGAATACAAGGGGTGAAATAGAAGCTACCCAACCAATGAACCATGCAGAGAACGTTCGCCCAAGAACGTTTACATAACTACTTTTAGCTGCGCTTTGCCAACTCAGCGTCGGCAGGTGAAAATTACAACACGTGTTTTTTAGGTAATTTTTACCTACCTAAAAGTAGTTGTTTTAGCTGTTAAGGTTGTTTTAAACAACTTCTGTAACGCACGTTTTCGTAATTACGAAAACGTGCGCCAGGTTCATTCTGTGCAGGTGGTTCAGTTTCGCCCCAGATTGAACACCCTAGTTCCGCGCACTGTTCCCCGGGGTCAATTTCTCAATGTCCGCAATGTTCTGAAATTCCCACACAAAGGTTCCGAAACGATCGCACTTTTGCGTCGGAGGGGTTCGCCGGTAGAAGACTCGGTCTTCTGCAGAATTTCACTTCTGCAGATGCGCCATCTTCTGCAGATCCGAACTTCTGCAGATGCGCCCTCTGCAGCTCCACGTTCTGCTCGGCAGATTCGCCTTCGTCTGTAGCGGAACCTGTTTTCCGCTTCTGCGAGGTGACTCTGCTGCAGTGCAGAGTTCCGCGTTGACTTTTGCAGAATTCCCTTTCGGCGGAATTTCTCCTCCTCTGCAGAATTCGACGACCATATTCTGCAGGTTCAGTGCCAGCTCAACACTCCCCTGCACTGGTCATGCTTGGTCGTCGCAGAGAAAATTGACCCGTCTACACCACACACCAGGGCAGAACACAAAGAAAGAAGAAAGAAAGAAAACATGCAGAAAAGAAACACACAAGAATTGCAGAAGTCTGCAATTCTCACACACCATCACTGCACCAGCCATGAAAAGGTCATGGCACCTATTCTTCGTCGCGAGAATCCTTTGTCCTGCTCCCCTTCGCCGAAAGTCTCACTTGACCCACTTTCTCAAAGAACTTATCGAACGCAGGGAAATGAAGTGCTTTCGTCAAGTAATCTGCCGGCTGCTCGGTCGTCGAGATGTACTGCAGCTTCAGCTTGCGACGTTTCACCATGCTCTGCAACCACATGTAGCGCCGCTCCATATGTTTCAGCTTTCCCTTCAGCCCCATTCTTTCTGACACAGAAATCGCAGATTGATTGTCGACGTGGATAATCGTTGGTGATGTTTCGTCGAGCATGCGAAATTCTGCCATCAGATTACGGAGCTTTCGGGCTTCCTTTCCAGCCTCCACTGCAGCGATGTATTCCGACTCCGTAGAAGAGAGAGTGATGCACCTGATCCTCTTACTTGACCATGAAATAGCAGCTCCACCGAGAGTGAAAATGTAGCCACCCGTGCTGCTGCGATTCTGCTTGTCTCCTGCATCGTCTGCATCTGTGAAGCCGACGAGACGCATCTCTCCATTTCCGCCGCCGAACTCGAGAGCAACATCGCGCGTCCCAACAAGGTACGCAATGCAGCGGTCGAGCTCCCTCCAATGCTGGTCGCTTCGAACCGTTTGACCAGACGCAAGTTTGCTGCAGGCGAAGGAGATGTGGGGGGCGAGTAGTGCAGGCAGCGAACTGCAGAGGGCCGACCCTCTGCCGATACTCTTCTTCTGTGCGCGCCTGCAACTTCTCGTCGTCAAATGTCAGCACCTTGAAGGCGTCGACCGAAATTGGCATCTTCGGAACTCGCTGAGGAGCTCCTTCTGGCAGAAAACGCCTCTGCACCATGTCCACGTAGCCTCCCTGATGCAGCCAGATCTTCCCCGCTTCCCTGTCTCTGATCAGCTCCAGTCCCAGGTACTTGTTGACAGGGCTGATCTCTCGCAATTTGAAGGCGTTTTCGAGCAGCGCCTTCAACTCTGCAAGATGCTCCTTGCTGCGGCTCGCGGCGAGCAGATCGTCGACGTAGACGAGCACCCAGCACATGTCGTGGTTCTCGTCCTCGTGGAAGTAGAAAGCTTCGTCGACCTGACTCTTCTGTCAAATGTTATATCTGCTACAGTTTGTTTAGGCTGTAGTGGGGTAGTTACTATGGGGTACAGTAAGTTTAGGGTTTCCTACTTGTACCCAACTCTTTCCTAGTTCAATCACTCTTGTTCATTCTGACATGGTATCACGAGCCTAGGTTAGCCACCTAGGACCGCTTACTACTACGGGCCCACTATTCCGCCAGAAGCGCCCTCGTGCGCCCTACCTTACGTGCGCCCTCGTGCGCCTTTCCCTGCTCGTGCGCCCTCGTGCGCCTTCTTTCTGCTAGTGCGCCCTCGAGCGCCCCGCCCTTCGTTCTGCCCGCGCGCCGTCCTCTGCCCGTGCGCGCGTGGCCCGCTAGCCACCAGCGCGCCGCCTGATCGACGCCCGCGCACAGCCCGCTAGCCGCCCACGCAGTTCGTACCGGCCTCACGCGGCCCCTCGAGCCGCTTGCGACCTGCCTGCACGTAGGCCGCCACCCGTAGGCTGCTGGCCGCCCGTACGCTGCCCGTAGGCCGCCCTTACGCCGCCCGTACGCTGCCCGTACGTCGCCCGTAGGCCGCCGCCGCCCGTAGGCCGACGCTCGCGCGCAGGGTGTACCCCGCGCGCCGCGGCTGCTGCACGCCGGCGGCTGCAGCCCGCCGGGACCCGCGCGTCGCCCCTACCTCTTCGTGACGCCCTTGCGGGCCCCGCGCGTCGCCCCCTGCCTCTTCGCGACGCCCTTGCGGGACCCGCACGTCCCCCCCCCCCCCGCCTCTTCGCGACGCCCCTGCGGGACCCGCGAGGCGCGGCTCCTGCGCGTCGCGCCGCCCCAGCGGGACCCGGGCGTCGCCCCCGCTCATCGCGACGCCCTTGCGGGGCCCGCGCGACGTCGCCCCTGCCCGCCGAGTCGCCCTGCAGTACCCCGTGCCTGCCCTGCCCGCCGCGTCGCCCCTACCCCGCGCCTGGTCCCTGGAGCAGCCGTCCCTGCAGCAGCCGCCCCTGGCCCCTGGAGCAGCCGCCACTGCAGCAGCCGCCCCTGGCCGTTGGAGCAGCCGCACCTGCAGCCGCCCCTGGCCCCTGGAGCGGCCGCCCCTGCAGCAGCCGCCATCTGGCCACTGGAGCAGCCGCCACTGCAGCAGCCGCCCCTGGCCCCTGAAGCAGCCGCCCCTGCAGCAGCTGCCGTCGCGGACCGGTCCCGCCCTGCAGCAACTGCCGCGGAGCTCCCTGCCGCGGTCGCGGCCCCGCCCTACCTCTGTAGCGGCCACGCAGTCGCCTCCGTCATGCGCCTGCCCTTCCCACCACTGGTGAGCATGTCCCTACCCGTACTGCTACTGCTGTTACTGCTGCTGCTCTTGCTGCTACTGCTTCTACTGCTGCTCCTGGCGTGGCCAGATGCAGCTCCAGGGCCGTCCGCGTGTGTCCCTCACGCCCCAGCAGCTTCGTGAGTGGTACGCCAGTTGGGGTTGTCGAGGTGGCAGTAGTGGGAGTCGTCCTGGAGTGCGTAGTTCGGGAGTTTCTTGTAGTGGCCCGGTGCCGCAGCAGCGTCGTCTGCGCGAGACTCGTTCGCCCCAGCAGCTTCGTGAGTGGTACGCTCAGTGTAAAGGGTCGGTGCGCACTGCTCGCTGCGTGTACGTTATTCGCACGGGTGTCCGGACTAGTCAGCCTTGCGGGACGCCTGGTCACACAGAGTCTCACTGCTTCGCCCGTCTGAGCGACACTTGGCGTACAGAGCTTGGCGACGACGCTGAGCTCCCCGACTGGGTGGAGCTGCTTAGGCAGAGGGTAGATATCTTTGCTCTTCACTATGATGCTATTCTCACTACAATGTATGCATTGTCTACTAGTGCCGAGGGAGCGTATCACCTGTGTGTGCCGCCTGACCCCGGTATCCAGTCTGCTGCTCCAGGTGCTGGTGAGGCTGCTGCTCTAGGCGCTCGTG